GTTTCTAATTACACTTATAATAAAATTCAGATTTCCTCCCAACTTCTACCTTGGCTATTTCCTCTGTATTTTCTGCCCCTACATCTTCCTGAGGTGGCCCCTTCCTATGATTCCACACTCAGCTCACCTCCTCAGAGAAGTATTCCCTAATCAAACTAAATCAGTAGTCCCTAACTTTGAGATAGAGTCTGGGCAGCTATAATTTTTTTCTTCAGCTCCTCAGTTGGGACTGATATATAGGGATACTAAGAATTTCTGCACTAAATGAGTTTTGCTTTTGCTTATGATATTTTTATGCTGATTTTTTTTTTAATATTTATTTTTCAGTTTTCGGCGGACACAACATCTCTGTTTGTATGTGGTGCTAAGGATCGAACCTGGGCTGCACGCATGCCAGGCAAGTGCACTACCACTTGAGCCACATCCCCAGCCCCATATGCTGATTTATTTCTTGCTACTTCTCACTGCCTGTGGGTTGGAAAAGTGGAAAACTGACAGGTCTGAAGTGGTGAGAAAGAAATGGCAATCACCAGAAACCTGTACTAAATCACTGCCAAAAGTCACACCTATCTGTTAAATGCAAGTTAATGTGTATAAACTCTAGAGAATTTGTCATTGTTGTTGTTGTTCTTATTTCATGATTCTCAGCCCGGATCAGAAAGCTGAAATTGTCAGAAAAATAATATGCTTTATCACCTCATGTTACCAAACCAGGACCATTTTGCCCACTGCACAGTATGTTAATCACTGACTTGACAAGTTTTGCAAAAGAGAGTTTATTCACATGATGGCCAACAGATATGAAGAGAGGGGAAACCTAAGGGTCAACCCTACAGCCTCAAGGATAGAACTGAGTAATATTTATAGGAATAAGCAAGGTGATTTAAGGAATGGAGAAAGGTGATTGGTGGTAAAGCAATCTGTGGTCTGTACACGTGTATCAATCTTCCTAGCTCTTCACAGGATGCATGTTCAGAAATGACAGTTAGCAAGATCTGAGGGTAGAGATTTTGACCCTCTAACATCAAAAGGCCACCCATCAGACACCTGCAAAGACCCAAGGGAAGAGAGTGGTTTCAACAAAAGCATTCTTGAAGCGCCTGGAAAGTAACTTCATGTGTCCCACAGGTCAGAGGTATTATCTATGGCAGAGCTAATGGGAGACTATTAATTATATATTGCTCAGCTGCGTGATCCCCCAAATCAGTGATTTTTAAAATCAATTAAAAGCAAGTGAAAATAGAGTTTTGATCCAAGTTTTCCATGGTTTCATTCAGAACTGTCTTAACTTTGTGAGTAAAGATTGCCATTCTCGGGGCTGGGGTTATAGTTCAGTGGTGGAACGCTTGCCTAGCATGTATGAGGCACTGGGTTCAATTCTCAGCACCACATATAAATAAACAAAAAATAAATATCCACCAACCACTAAAAAAAGTTAAAAAGAAAAAGATTGCCATTCTCTTTTCTAAGTCTTGGTAAAAATCTTCAATTTGATATAATTTCCTAATACTAATTATTAACTTTCTTCCACTATGAACTCTGTAAGATAGGGGATTTGTCTATATTGCTCACTGATAAATTCCCAACTCTTAGATGATGTCTGATATAAAATCATGAATTATGTGATTATTCATTCAACAAATAGTTACCATGTTGTTAGGCAGCATCCTAGACTTTGAGGATACAGCAATGAAAAAACAGCAAAAATCCTTGTCCTCTTGCATACTAATGGGTAGCACAGACAAGAATAACAAGTATAATAAAAATAAGTGGCAAGAAGAAAAAAATTTTAAAAACTAATCTAAGGTAACAAAAGATAGACCAGTAGTTGCCTAGGAATTAGAGTAGAAGGACTGAAAGGGGCACAGACAGACTTTTAAAGGGTGAGGGACATGTTCTGGTTCCTGACTGTGGTGGTAATTTCACAGGTATATAGAGCAACCAAAATTAATCAAGTTGTATACTTGGAACAAATAAGGTTTATTGTATGAAAATTATATTGCCTGGCATGTAAAGCAAGAAGCAGAAGACTGAACTTTTAAAAATATAGCCAGTGAAGGCTTCATTAAAAATGTAATTTTTAAGAAAAGACATTAAGAAAGTGAATAAACTAGCATGCAGATATCTGGGAAGATCAACCCACAGGGGATAGCACTGGCCCTAAAAAGATAATGTGTCTGGCATGTTCCAGAAATCAACAAGGAGGCCAATGAGTCTAGTTAGTGTAGATTAAGGTAGAAGACTATTAATCTTATTGAGATAAGAAGCCACTGGAGTTAACATGAGAAGCCATGAATACATTATTGGACTTATGCTCTAATAGAGTCACTTTGGATACTGTGTGTTGAGAAAAGGCTGAAGAGCAGAAGCAGAGAAATCAGTTGGAAAGATGTTACTATAATCTAGGAGAGAGATGATAGTGATTTAAACAGAGTAGTAAGTGGGAGGGTGAGTAGACAAATTTTAGACACATTATAAAACATACCCAGAAATATTTGATGAAAGACTGGATCTGGATGTGAAAGGGGGAAAAAATAGAGGATATGAACTGGAAGAATGGAGGTACCACTAATTGAAATGAGGAAAAAACAAAAGAGGAGTAAGTTTGGGAGGTATATGAGCACCTGGTTTGGGGCATATTCAATTACTGATACCTTTTAAACATTTAAGTAGAGTTCTCAAGTATGTCATAAAAACATATCTGGAATTTAGTAGAGAAATTTAGTTTGGGGTTTAAATTGGGCAGTCATCAGAGTATAGATGGTATTTAAATTAAATCTATGAAACTCCAATATCATTAATTAGCAATTAGGGAAATACAATCAAAACTACACTGAAATTGCATCTCACAAAATGGCAGTCATCAAGAATACATTTGGGGGGTGCTGGGGTTGTGGATCAGCTGTAGAGCACTCACCTAGCACATGCGGAGTGCTGGGTTCAATCCTTAGCGCCACATAAAAATAAAATAAAAGTATTGTGTCCAACTACAACTAAAACAAAATATTTTTTTTTAAAAAAGAATACATATAGGAGATAGGGCTGTGGCTCAGCAGTAGCGCACTTGCCTGGCATGTATGAGGCACTGGGTTGGATTCTCAGCACCATGTATAAATAAATAAAATAAAGGTCTATCAACAACTAAAAAAAATATTTACATAAAAATATAAATAAATAAAAATATATACATATAATAATAAATTCTAGAGAAGATGTGGAGAAAAAGGAACACTTAAACACTGTTGGTGGACTGTAAATTAGTACAACCACTATGGAAATCAGTATGGAGGCTCCTCAAAAGACTAGGCATTCACCAAATGACCCAGCTATAACACTCCTTGGTATTTATGCTAAATAATTAAAGTCATCATAATATAGTGATACATGCACAATTCACAATAGGTAAACTAGAGAACCAGCCTAGGTGTCCGTCAATGGATGAACCAATAAAAAAAAAAATGTGGTATATATACACAATGAAGTTTTATTCAGCCATAAACAAAAATGAAATTATGTCATTTGGAGGAAAATGGATAGAACAAGAGACCATTATGTTAAGCAAAATAAGTCAACTTCAGGTCAAGAGACAAATGTTTTCCCTCATATGTGGAAGCTAGAGAGGAAAAAGGAAAAGAAAGGTGGAGGCGGATCTCATGGAAATCAAACAGAGATCAGCAGAGGAAAGGGACCAAGTATTGGGAGGCAGGGAGAAAGGGGATATTGCTGGGGAGTGATACTGGCCAAATTATACTGTTATATTGTGCACATGTAATGAATACGTAACAACAAATCCCATCATTATGTACAACTATAATGTATCAATTAAAAAAGAAACTAAAGAGAATATGTAAAGAAACCTACCGGGGCTGGGGTTGTGGTTTAGCGGTAGAGCACTTGCCTAGCATGTGTGAGGCCCTGGGTTCGATCCTTGACACCACATAAAAATAAGTAAATAAAATAAAGGTATTGTGTCCAACTACAACTAAAAAATAAACATTTTTTTAAAAAAGAAACCTATCAATTTTAAAAAATACATATCGTCGTCATTAAGAAGAAAAGAAGGGGCTAAGGATATAGCTTAGTTGGTAGAGTGCTTGCCTCACATGCACAAGCACTCTACCAACTAAGCTATATCCTTAGCATCTTCTAAGGATATAGCACAAAAAAGAAGAAGAAGAAGAAAGAAGAAGAAGAAGAAGAAGAAAAGAAATAATTTTCTATTATAGGATATAACAGAAGCATTTGTTTCATTGTTTATCTAAAAATAAGTCTGATTATCTAATTTAGTGATCTGGTTATTCTCTTACTAATTACCAGCTTCTCCATCCCTGTCAAAATACATAAGTCAGGTCATTAAAAATCTAATTTGGCAGGCATCTGGAGCACAAACTGAATGACCTAAAGAAATATCATGCTAAGATTATCTGCTATAATGATTATTTATTTGCTGTACAGAACGCAAAGAAAGCACTCTTTTGCAAACATCCAAAATCAAATTGAGAAATATTTGTGAGCTCAAGGTCAAAGAGAGCACACTTGGGTCTTTAGGAACAACACATTAATGTAATTAAAATACATTGTCTCCTACATCTTACTGACCATAAAGATAACTGGGTAAAACTGTTTTGTTCTGTGTTGTTTAATATCAAATCTTGTTCTTTATTTAGTATCTCGACTATTGCCTTGGAGAGTTTGATCAAATGTCAAGAATTTTGAAATCTAACCAAAATGTAGTAGGAGGTAACTTCTGTACAATCACTTTAACCAATTCTGTTTTTCTAATCTGAGAAAACTGCAAATCCTGTGGCTGGTTCTAAACTCTGCCCATAATTATTAATATCCAAATTTTTAGATGATTCTACCTCTGAAAAGGAATTCAGGGTCTCTTCAATTATTTCTTTTATCTCTGCAAAGAAGAATGTCAAAATGCAATCTGAATGTATGGGCTAATATGTAATGGAAAATACAGTTTACAAAGATTGAATTGGAGTTGAACTCACCTGTCCACTTTTCCCAAATTCTAGCTCTATTATGGCAACAGGGGTGTGTATTTGAGATGAGTGCCTTGACTGAGACTTAGCATCAACTCTCCAGCTCAGGCCCCGAAGTCCATTGTCCCAACGGCTCTGGTTCATGAGGCTCTCTCGAATCTTTGTTTTGTGGCTCTTCCAGAATTTGGAAATGACAGCAGCCTGGTCAGATGTTATCCCACCTTGCTTTTTTGTTTGAGCAGTCAAAAATGCCTCCAGCTGGTTGAAATCCATGTCTGCAGATGCAATCGACTATAAAGATGTCAGAAAAAGCAATAAATTTGAATTTGGTAGATAACTAGAAAAAGAGCTTCTTAACTAGAGCATATTTTGAATGATTCTTAAGCACTGACTATTTCTTTCAAATAGGATCATCAAACAATAGTAATGAGAATGAATAGTGAGTATAAATACAAAAACACTCCCTTTGCAAATATCAAAATATCAGAAAAGCTACTATTCAAAATTCTATCATTCCAATTCTATATTAATAACTTGAATCTAACTTAAATACCCAGTTTCAGAGTGAGGAAATAAAATGAAAATTATTTTAAATAATAAAACAAAAATAAAATTAATCTGTTCTGATGTAATCTTATAGTGCCTTACGGATAGGCCTGATTTGAAAAAGTACAACTGTACAATGTATTCTTTTTTTATATGTATATAATGTATTCTCCATAAGAAGTATTAAGTAAACGTTGTTAAGTGAAGCATTATTTTAGCTTTGCAGTCTATCTTCAGTGAAACAGCTCATTTGCAATACTACTGTGCAATTATATATGATCTTAATACTTCTCCTTATATTTTCAAAAGTTAATTGCCATTAAAGTTGGGTTCTCGATTCAAGCATCCAAGAAAACACAGTAAATAAATATAAGTTCAAGTTTAAAATAAAAAAGCCCTAAATTTGCACAGCAGTATTTACTCTTTCAAAGCATTTTCACTTTTATTATTACAATTGAGTTCACCATCCATTTTCAAAGACAATGAGGTAGACAGAAGTAGGATTAGTTCCCTTTACTCTCAATTTATAGAAATGGAAATGGAAGCATAGAGGAACCAAGTGATTTTCCCAAAAGTTCAGTAAGTGCAGAGTCAAAGTCTCCTAAATGCGAAGCCATGTTTCCCTCTAATTAGTTTTCATAAGTGACTACACAGAGAAGTAGATTCTGTATTACTTTCATTGAAAAATATCTAAACTGGCACTTTCTGCCAACAATAATTCAGAGACACCAGCACCTAAGGAGTAGATACAATGCTTTATTAATGGCCTTCAGAGACTATGAGACATTAAACAACATGCAGATTATAACCACCATCTTTTTATTTAAGGCTTGGCTATTTCAGTGAAGCGAAAAATACATAAATGTTAGTTTAATAATGAATAGCAAAACTGAGGGATAAAATCAAGAAGATAGTTTGGAGTCAGAATATAAGGTACCAAAAGCCAGAGGATTGTTATATATAGGCAATAAGGAGCCACTGAAGCTGGGTAACTGGGTAATCACAATTCAAAGCTCGATCTGAGCATTAGGAAGGTAAGTCTGAGAACAGTAAGCAACTAAAGTGGGAAATCATCAAAGTGTTGAAACAATGGAGCTTGGGAGAGGAGAGTGATAGTTAATGATTTAATACCAGAGCAAACTTTCCCTTGCCTCTTCTTTGATAGGTTCCTACTCTCTCCTCGTTATGAGGGCTGATATGAATTCCAAATCAGAATATCCTCCTCTTTCTGGACACACTGATTGGTTCAAATCAATTTCCCAATTTAGAATAGGACAAATGGTCTTGTCTTTTGGGATAATGGTACCAGAAGGATGAGAGGCTGGGGTTGTCATTTTCTTTGACCTCTGGGTGAAAGCCAAAGAACGATTAAAAAAAAAAAAAAAAAGAAAAAAACCATACACACACACACACACACATACACACATATCTATATATACACATATATACATACATATATATATATATATATATGAAGCCAAGAAGAGATAAGAGTAGATCCTAATGTGCCAATATCTGTATTCTATAATTCCCAAGGCCCTGGTTCCTGCAGGCATTCTTTCAATTTTGTGCACTATATCACCATCTTTCCCACCTACAGGCACTAAATAAATATATATATTTCTATATACAAATATATATATATGTATGTGTATATATATATATATATATATATATATAATGTATATATATATATATATATATAAAATTCAAGATAGTTTAAGTTGTAGTTCTATCATTTATAACCAAGAGTCTGACTAAAATAGGGTAGTAGCAGTAAGAACAGAGGAATGTAAAGGTACAGGTAGTATATGGATGGGTAAAGTATGGCTAGGGCTGAAAAATAAACATACTGCCTTTCATTTCTCCATTAATATAAAAAACGTTATTTATTACAACTTTCTGGTAGATTAAAAATATTTCATGTTGCAACTCAAAAAAATGTTAATATCTCAGGGCTGGGGTTGTGGCTCAGTGGTAGGGTGCTCACCTAGCATGCACGAGGCACTGGGTTCGATCCTCAGCACCATGTAAATGTAAAATAAAGATATCGTGTCCACCTAAAACTTAAGAATAAGTATTTTTAAAAAATATTAATATCTGCCTATTTATCAGATATTAGGCCTAAAAACCTCTGGCTATGCCAACTCAATAGAAATATTAATTTACATAACATACTATAATTAAATTAAACTATTTCCATTGGCAACTCATATCAGAATTCAGGTGGTTTGGATCATTCTTTTCCCCAAATTATATCAAGAAATATCTATTCTGATATAATTTTACCTGTGATGGAATTTATTTTGTTTGCTGAGGCAGGCTGAGGCAGCAGGATATCAAGTTCAAAGCCAGCCTCAGCAAAAGTTAGGTGCTAAACAACTCAATGAGAACCTCTCTCTAAATAAAACACAAATTAGGGCTTGGGATATGGCTCAGTGGATGAGTGCCCCTGAGTTCATTCACCAGCACCAAAAAAAAATTTTTTTTTAACAACTACCATGATAAAGATCTGCTCAAAGCATGCCACCTCTATCTACTGATAGCCAAAGTTGATGGCCTGCTACTCATCTTTTGATTCTCTCCTCCATCAACACAACACCAGTACTGGGGATGGAACCCAAGGACACTCTACTATTGAGCTATATTCCAAGCCCTTTAATTTTTTAATTTATTCAAAAATAAGCAGCACATGGTATGAATTGCCAAGATCATTGTAATGTCATGTGTAGCTAATATAAATAAATAAATAAATAAATAAATAAAACAAGCAGCACAACCTGTGGGCTATGGTTTGCCAACTCCTGCTCAATAACATCATAAAACAAACTGACCCATGTCTTACATGACTGCAATGCCCCACCTGACATTATGTGGAAAAACCTGCTTATAATTATTAGAGCCTAGATATTAACTATTTTTTACAAAAAAGTATTTTCCACAGTTTATTTAAGAAACATCCAACTTTTCAGTAATGCATCTAATATAACTTACACTTTGGTTTGGGCATAATTTCACAAACAGGATGTTAAGCATTTTAGAAAAATCACATTATTGGGGGCAATGCTGTTTAAAATATCTGAGCTACCAATATAATACATTTGTGCATATCTGCATTTGTTGCTATGCATTCATAGTGACTCTACATATAGGTACAGCATCTAATTAATTCATTGTATGTTCTAATACTCAAAACAATTACATTTTAAAATAAACCTTTCAAATTACTTTAGTTTCACTGTATTTTTCATTTACATTACATTTGTATTATATTGATTTATTAGAAATTATGCATGTTAATTTTATTATATATGAGTTATTATTATATAAGAATTCCACTGAAGGATAATAAAGGGATATTTGAAAATGTTTACTATAAGAAGGTGACATTGGCTTGGACAGGTTTGAGAACCACTGAAGACTGAATGTAAACTCAATAAAACAGACCCTGGCTTATTTTTTTAGTATTTATTTGACAAATTCCTGTCTCCCACACTTAACGCTCAAATAATAACCTGTTTGCAATCCTAATATACTGTTTCTTTATGTGTGTTTCTGTTTGTGCTATTCTAACAGCCTAAAATATCCTTCTGTTACCATCTCCATCTTATTAAATTCTATTTATCATTCAAGTCTCAATCCAAGCATAACTTCCCTAGTAGTCCTCCTTCCCTAGTAAGGTAAATGCCACTTTCAATTCAAAGATGCCTTAATATGTCTATCATTCTATTTACCTCAATAGAATCAAATTATGTGTTTACAAGTCCTTTTCTTCCACAGATTCTAATCTTTGAGGGCAGGGTCTACATCTCTCTGAAAATACAGCATCTAATGCCCTGAGTAGAATTCAGGTCCTAACAGGTACTCACAACCATATCAACTACTTTTCAAATCCTAAAAGTTGCATATAAATATTAAGTCCAAAAGCATATGAAGTTTCCAACTTTTTGCTTCACAAAAATCCTTCCATATATATTCATAAATCATAAACTCCTTTGACATAAATGTAGAAAATAATCCAGGTTGTTGATTCATGTTTACCTAACATAGCCCTTGGAAATTAACAAGGACACAGAGCCAAAAGAAAGTTAGGATAGGAAATTAGAGGAAAGGAAGAACTTGAATAAAATATGAAAATGTTATTCATCAAAATTAAACAAAGTTGTTACTCCAAGAAAATAATCAGTGATCCCACATGGTACAGCTGATGTAAAAAGCTTAGAGAAACTGCTGGTCTCTTAAGTCAACACAGATCAACAATATGCTAAAGATGTACTTGACTGGTGATCCAGTAATAATTTGGGTGACAGAGGCACTGGGGATTGAACCCAGGGCCTCCCACATGTTAAGCCTGAGCTCTAACACTGAGCTACACCCTTAACCATGCATGCCTTCAGGCCTACATCTTGCTATGAAGTGTAAGTGCATTAAGAGGATAAGGATCAGCAGTGCATGGTGGTGCATGCCTGTACTCCCAACTTTTCAGGAAGCTGAAGAGGAGTATCTCACAGTTGATGCCAGCCTGGGCAACTGAGTGAGATCTTGTCTCAAAATAGAATAAAAAGGGCTAGGGATGTAGCTCAGTAGTAGAGTGCTTGCCTAGCATAAGCAAAGTCCTGGGTTCAATCCCTAAAAACACATACACACACACACACACACACGGCAATGATTTTGCCTCAATTATTTAATAGTTATTTAATAACTGTGGCATCACACATTGACTAATACATAGTAGGTGCTCCATA